AAAAATGATGTGAAGAGGCTGTTGGCACTGTGGCCGTCTGCTTCAAAGAGCTCTACAAACTTGCACGATGGACTAGCCGACTAACCAGGTTATCATTCAACAAGAAGGGATCATTGACTCCGCTCCCTTGGGCTGTCTAGGCGAGGAATGTAAACAGGCTGGCGAAGGAAAGCAGCCAAGACATCCGCGCTGCAAACACCGCCACAGCCACCTGGCCCACTTGACCTTGCAAGGGAGGAGTCCTGTCTGTTGGTTTGCCTGTGTTCATGGCCACCAGCAGGTCCAAAGCAGGCTGCGAGAAAAGGTTTCCGCGAGAGACGCAAGGCGGAGATGGCGCAGAGGGGGCGCGGCTGACATTGTGCCACGCATGACTTGCGCCTTCGCAGTACACCAAGCCATCCTCAACATACCAAACCCCTTTTAGCTCTTGCGCGGGATAGTACATCAAGAAAGACAAACACATCTCGGCATCTACACCCCCGCCCCATTTAATGGGTGATCTTCGGCTGGAGGTGTTGTAGTTGCATGTGAACAAAAGCTCATCACCTCTCTGCAGCTTCCGGAAACTGCCTGTGGGTGCGAAGGTCTGGAAGTTGTAATCGTAAAGCTTCTCCTGCCTCAACATTCCGATTCTCTGGGAGCCTCGGAACACCTCCGTCGTCATGTTTGTGCCCGCCCCGTGCGCGTGATAAAGTTGTGACAACACCGTCACCTCCTCTGCCTTCCACTCACGGGTGCATGATGATGGCAGCAACACAGGCTCCGCAGCGTAGTTCTGGAGCCCTGGAGGTATGTCGGCCAGGATTTGCCTCTCAGGCCAAAGCCCGCCTGCGGCCAGTGTAAGAAGCCCTGCATCATGAGGTCGCAGGCTATCCGCAATGAAGAGGTTTACGCCAACGCTGTCCTGAATCCCAAAGTTTGAGGAGGGGTCGTAGTAGTGCACCTGAAGAGCAAGAAACCGTTTTCCCACTCCACCGATGGGGATCCCTGCTTCGGCAGGGAGCACCCCGGCCGTATTTCCCGTGGTAAAAATGAAAAACCCTGGTGAGCACCCGGGAGGAGTCCTTGCTGCGCTTTCTGAACAGAAAGAGTCGTTAGTTGAGTAAGCAGAATTGAAAGAAATGCCCACAAACAAGTTGAGGCTTATCTGCACAAGTCAGGCAGGAATCATGTCGCACTCCTCGAGGGTTTGGAGGTGGGTGTAAGCACCTTCCGGACACCAGCCAGAAATCATGTGGTGAAAGTACCTGAAAGTCTGAGTGTCTTCGGCCAAAGTCATTGCAGCAACATGGTGCTTGGTGTCAAAGTCCGGGATAACCTCCTTCAGGTCAAAGAAAGCGCACACCCATTGGTTCTGCACATTCGCGCTCACATGAGGCAGGGAAATGTTAGGTATGCGGAGTGTGACCTTCTTGAAGTTCTTCAAATCTGCCAAGTTGAGGTTGGATGGGCCGGACAAGAGGTTCACCCGCATGCTGCCTCT